CAGGGACGACACCCCTGTCCCTGTCCCTCCACCTACACGTAGACCTCGACGAAGTCGCCGATTGAATACCGAGCGCATCCTTGCACTCGGCCTGCCCACCACTAGACATGTACCGGGCCAAGATCCCACTAGGCAACAGTTACTTAACGACATACACACTAGGACGTCCCCACAACCCTATCAGTGCAACTTTAAGTGCAGGGTCTGCCACCAGTATGGCCACAAACAGAAACAATGCGAGCGATACTTCTGCCGCATTTGTGGACTGTTCGCCCCCGGACATCTCACTCCATTCTGCCCTCGCCTTCACGGCAAGAAGATCCTTCGTCGAGGAATATCCTCGGAAACGTTCTACACTGACATGCGTCAGTTAGAGGCAGCATATGATCACGATGCTGCGCGACTCGAACAAGATAGAGAAGAGAATGCTTTGGAAGCCATGGATATACTCCGTGACCTCGACTTCGACCCCTCCTGGTATGACAACATGGATAACTGAACTCGTTGATTTCAGTCCTAGAAACCGGGGTAATGTTACAAGAACATCTAGATGCTTGGGCCCCTACTCTTTTTCTCCTAATCGTCCTCGTATCCACCCTCGCATCATACCCTTACCCTGACCTTACCCTTGTCACCCTCGTCATCCTCGCATTCCCGTTCGCCCTCTACCTGTCGCTTCAGCAAAGCCAGTACATCTGGCCGGATCCCTTCGCTGACGAAGCATACCCATGCTCCGTTTCACCACCTGACTGATCCTGTGGACAGTCCCCTTACCCTTACCGTCTGGACGGTAACCTATGACACGATGCATGACGCATCCCCTTTGTCCGGTTCCCTTTTCTGATCTCTGACTCGGTGCGCAGTCGCACATGCGACTTATACTTAGATCCGCAGCTGCATGATCGTGCTTATGCATGTTTCACCTCTTATTTCGATCTTCTGACTCACATTCTTATCTAAGCACGTTCTACCTCGACCGAACGTGCCTTCCTGTTATGGTCTTACCCTTTACCGATTGCTTTCCCTGGTAGTACGAGTTATCATCCACTAATACGTTTCCTGTCCTCTATATAAACTCGCTACCATGTACTATATTCCTTAACTTGAATCTACTTGGTTCTTGACCTCATACTCTCATCAGAGTGATCCTTCTGCCTCGCCAGCAGTCTATATTCTATCCTCTTATCTGCTCATCGCGGATAAGCCTATAGTCTCGACCTTTGCTCATCGACTTTGTCGACGAACAAAGCCCCTGTTAACTAGTCGGACTTTTGTCCTTCTAATTAACGACGATCATTACGATTAACCTTCGGGTGTCGTAATCCCTGGCCGATATAGCTTATCGTCTTGCACCCGCGTGACATAAGCTACCCGATTTGGACATAGGCGTTAAATCGTACTTGCCGAAGACACGCCAAGTACGACCCCTAACCTTGGGCTAGCCCAAGGACGTCCACAGACCGTTGACGACACAAGCTCTGTTTGAGCGTCGCCAACAGACACCATCCAAGTCGTAACAATATTAGTCATTTCAAGAAACACCTTAGCCAACATTTTGAGATATTGGACTTAGGTGAACTCAACCGGTTGCTGGGACTCAATGTAGAAAGAAACTGTCCTACCTGCACCATTACACTCTGTCAACGTGTATATGTTGACACTGTCCTACAAAGGTTCGGCCTTGCAGAGGCAAAATTGGCTCAGATGTCTATGGAGGCTGGACTGGTACTCACTAACACAGACTCACCTGATACCTATGCCCAGCATGAGGCCATGCAAAATGTCCTCTATCAATGAGGAATTGGATCTCTCATGTATGTCACCACCAGTACCAGATCAGATATATCTTTCATAGTGGCCACTTTCTCCCAGTTTATAAGGAATCTGGATCATGCACACTAGGAGGCAAGTAAATGTGTCATGCATTACTTAAAGGTGATGGCAGACATTGTCCTTACCCTGGGAGGAACAGATGGAGGACTAGAAGTGTATGTAGATGCAGACTGAGCATCTAATGCTCATCATCACTCCATGTCCGGGTATGTGGTCTTGCTTAATGGAGGTCCTGTCGTGTGAAGCACCCAAAAACAACCTCTCATTGCACTATCTACAGCCAAGGCTGATATATTGCTCTAACTACCATTGCCCACAAGCTACTGTATCTGCAGCTACTCATCAAAAAGCTATATGGACCTTTATCACTTCCTACCCTCATATATTGCAATAATCAAGCCACCATTGCCTGCAAGAGTTTTTGAACCATGTAGCCCTCTGCATAAGCCATATTCTACCATATATTCTAGAGCAAATCTAGGGCAAATTTGGCTATTCCTGCAGCAGGATTTACTGATTTCATTGAGTCTACTGAAAGATCGTGGATTTTATCTTGTAACGATGTTTCTGTTGTACTCAGGTTTTCGCACTACATTGCCAAAGAAACATTTAAAACCATGGACCTATGCCTCCCAAGACCAATCATCACTAATTAGTTCATCATAAATGTGCTCGACTTTCCCTTCATCTGTAAAGCGGTGTTCTGGTGCATAGGTGAGGTGGTCGAGATATACAGGATTAGCCCACAGTTCTTTGATGCATTCAACAGGATCTTGCATGAATAATTCAAACTCTTCATTGATGCCTGATATCTGAATGACACTGCAGTGCCACAGAGTAACACTAGGGAGTTTATGATTAATTTTTTGGTGGAGCGCACAGGCATTCTTGTAAGATAGGTCGAGTTTACATTTCACCTAGCAAAAATACTTTAGCCATAATATCAATGCCACCACTGTGTGCTTACCTGATCAATGGACAAAACAATTAAGAAGGCATTTTGACTTGGCCCTTGCTGTATGGCCCACCAAGCTATCCCGTAGTCACATTCACTGACAAAAGGATAGTACAGATTATTCCTAAACTTCTATGATAATAAATTTTCTCCACCAGCCTATTTGTTTTCCTTAAACTTTTTAACAAAGAACCTTTGATGACAATTAAAAGCAAGGTAGAGTGAGAGGTGCTAAATATAGTGCAAACTGGCAGATGAACTTCAGAGGTGCATCTCATGGAGCACCAACACAGCTGGGCTTCACTGATACTTTTACTGAGAGAATGGTCTTCATATGAATGGAGGACATGTCCTGCATACCGTTTACGTTCAGAAACTTGGTGGTTAGTGGATGAGATAGATGTAGTGGGAAAATGAAATATAAGATAATAATGGGGCAGTTCATATCTTAAATCCTTTTGCGAGTGCTTGCAGTCTTTCTCTACAAAGTCAAAAATGCTGTTGCGGATGGCCACCATGCCTCGCTTGAGGATAGCTTTGAGGCTGGCCATGCCCGTATATGGCACTGGAGTAATTTACTTCAGAGTTTTGGTGTCAGCCTGACTCGAGCATCACGACTGCATGACATACCATTGACTTTCCATAGAGATTGTTGGTATCATCAAAATTGAAGTGCCCATCTGGATGATGAAGCCATACTTTGACAGTGTAGGAAGAATATTTTTGCTGGGCTCAGCAAAAGTAGTGCTACCTAAGCAACAATATTTAGGTAGATCTTCAGCACAACCTAGTCTGTTATATTTGCAGAGCAAGTGCGTTCAATCCTATAGGGGCTGCTGTTTGATATCAGTTTAGATAGTTAGTTATGAATAAAGGAAGATATTCTGAAGCTAGAAACTACTTGTCTGAAGGGAAACTGTAAAGTCCAAAATTATTGGAGTCAGGTTGGATGTTGGACTATGCATTGGACTGTTGGAAATGCATTGGATGGTGAAGGAAGGAATGTGTTGGAAGTATGTCAAAATGTCATATAAAATGAGTGTTGGATATTTCAGAATGTTTTGGAGTAAAAGAGCAGATAGATATTTTGTAATACAATAAAGTACTACTAATATCCAGTGACTTCCATCCTACTAACAGGTAGGGAAAAGTAACTAAAGTAATAGGTAGGAAGTCTAAGATATTATATAGTGACTATGTAGAAATTTGGAGTGCTATAGGTGAGAGTAGTAGCGATATTTTGGGTCTGAAATCCTATGTAATAGAACATGTGGTACTGTGGACTATGAGAAAATATGTAATAACACTGTCTATAATGTTTAGCAAGTGAAAATAAGTAATCGTACACCTTGTGGGGATAGATGCAACTGGACTAGACATAGGGAGGATGAATCTGATTGGGTTGGGCATCAGGCCAGGATCAGACATGTATCAGACTGTCGGAAAGTATATTAGGTCAGGATCGGACATGTGTTGGACTGTCAGACTCTGATTGGGGTAGTCAGAAGTGCATTAGACAAATACTATTTGGCACAAGTATCAAAAACAGTGGTTCCAAGCCCAGCACTGCAACCATCATTACAATGGTAATATCTAATCTATCCATTTATCTATATGGTACTACTGACTGTACCAATTCATCTACCAGCTGATCACTGTCATGTTGCCATTCCTCAAGGTTCAGCAATGTCTTGTATGTCTTTACCCACATTGTAAGGAAGCCTATGGCTTCAGCGCTGGATGCTCGCTAGGACTAATATCTCAACCGTCGTGACATAGTACGCACTCCTTTCTCGCTTGTTTCTTTTGTCTTCCTTTGTCCTTTTCATTTCACTATCTCTACCTTCACTCTTTTCCCTTTATGTCTATATACTAGAGGAAAGGGCCGGACTTCGTCGGCAGGGACCTTGTTTACTGTTTAAATCCATTGTACTGTTTGAATAATTGAACAAAATTCGAGTTACGAGGGAAATACAGAGTCAGAGTCGAACTAGAAATACAACTTTGTACAGTAAGAGGCGAGTCAACAAAAACATGCGGTCTGCATAAGTTCAAGAAAATTCTACACGAGTGACAGTACTATTGGGTTACTAGTTAAAGAATTGGTGTTAATTATAAGACCGTGCACGTACCAGTTAGCCTCTGATTGGGGTTTTCCCTTTGTTCTGTTGTTCTGTAGAAGGGCCTTCATTGAGGCAGCGACGTTTGAACGGGCTGGTTGGCATGGCTGCAGGCGGAGCGAGGACAATAATTTCTTGCAAGACCGCATTGAAAATGTCACGTCTCGATGACTTGATGCGATGGTGACAAATAGCCATATGAACTTCGACGAGTGCACCTTTCAGCTTCGATTCGTATTGACTCGGCGGGATAAGTTTATGGTTTTCATCATATGTGGGTAAAGGTTGGATATTGTGGGAAGACACAAGTTCATGAAGATGACCTTTGCAGCGGTCAGAAACTGGCCAAGATGCCATATTGTATTCGGAACTTAGGCTCTCTGCTGTCGCTAGTGTAAACAATTAGTCAGAGAAGTGTGGCACTAGATTGTATGCAGCTTAGTACTTACTTGTTGAGCCTTTGCCATTGCCGTCACCTTCATCATTAGCATCAGCTTCAAGGTCATCGGCCTTGGCCTATGTTATGATATCGAGCACAGTCAGGTAACAAAGAGACAGCGTGAATAAGACAATTACATACTTTGAAGAGACTGTGCGTGAGTTTGATTGACCTGTGGCCAAGAGAGTCGTGGATAATGTTGACTGTCTCATAATCCCGTTCTTTTGGAACTAACTTCTTGAAAGCACGGATATTGTTGAGAATGGCCGAAAAATCATCGGAGGGAAATTTGAAAGCCTCGCTATGGCCTGCCATGAGTTTGCAGTTTAGTTTAACATCTGCAAAACGTCCTTGGAAAACATTTGTAGGGTTGAAATTGGCATCGGGTGTAAAGTAGAAATTGTTACGGCTGATTTCAAATACACCGTGGATTATGAATTCAGCATCTTCGTTCAAGTTCCGTCCTTTCACGATGAGGATGTTACCCTTTTGACCACCAGCAAAATACTCTGCACGGTAAGCTAGTTTGGGTGTTGCAGCATAAAAGCCACCTTCATCATTCTGCATCTTGTTGAGTACAGAAGCAGCTGTCATGGCTGGTTTGTGACGTGCGGGAGAGCTGGGTGGTGTTTCAAGAAGGGGGGATGTCGTGGATGTATTCTTCGACTGGGTCATATTGACTTGGGTAGGTTTGTGAGTGCACGAAGAATACGTGACATGGGTTGAGACTTATTATATGGGATAGCGTGCATGATCCGTGCAGGGTGGCAAGTATTGGGATTTGATGATGTCTAAGCAGTATATGTCGTTTGAAGGTGCTCGAAGCTTCGGCTTTTCGAAGTTGAAGCTTGGCATGTTGTTTTTGTAATAGTCAGATTCTGTTTAACATTAAACTTTAATAGAACAACAAAGTTGATTTTTGAAGGGGAAAGGCTGCGGACCATATACTTGTCACAAGAACATGAGCATATTTTGTGGTGTATAAATCACAACATTTATTGTTGAGTAGCGTTATCTTCAGTATGTAAATGCGCGGCCATCAGATTCTTGGACTCAGCATGGTTAGCAGCATACAAAAATCATAAGCCATTACTATGGTGCACAGGCAGAGTGAAAATTTTGGGAACAAGACGGTCATGAAATTGTGATTGTTAAATCCACTACTACTCACCAATATTTCCGCGGGCCATCATACTAGTACTATGCCAGTGCAAGAATTAGTGGGCAATTTGATGAAGGATGAGCTGCAGGCTGCAGTTCCAACAGGCATATTTCACCGGACCTTTAGAAATGTGCCGTGGACCAAGATTATCGAGCTCGTTAGAGTGCAGTCTGATGAAGTGCTTGCTTTAATAAACAATGCAATCAAGGTCAAGGAAGAAAGGAAGCAGAAAAAGCAAGTAAAGAAGAAGAAACAGAGATACGAGGCACATCAACAGGAACAGGAGAATAATGCAGGCGAGGGCAGCATTGCTGTGGAGAATTGTCAAGTTGTGGAACCAAGTTTTCGTGATCATTCCAAATTTATGGAATTGCCAACTGATGAGGTGTGGAAACAATGTTTTCGAGCATTTCGAGAGGCAACAAGCAATAGAGCACTTGCAATGAATGTTTGTGTTGTTTGTGCATGAGAGATGATGGCATTCGAAGGTGAGTTTCAAGTAAGATGTAAGATGATTGATGTTGATTTGATATCAAACAAATGTGTAGGCAAAAAAATATTCATTTTGAGTGTTCCCAACATCAAGCAGAGATTAAGACCTGCCATTGTCCATCCGTCATATGATCTATGGGAGGGAATGTTATTGGCAAAGCACAGCATCGAAGGAGACGGAGCTTCTGCAGTGGCATGGGTGTGCAACAAATGTTCACAGGCACTCACAAACAACTCAATGCCAAAACATGCACTTGTCAACAATCTTTGGATCGGAGATGTTCCTCATGAACTTGCAATCCTCACTCTTCCTGAGCAACTTTTGGTGTCTCATTACTTTCCTCGGTGCTACGTTTTTAAGCTATACCCCAAGGATCATCATGCATCAAATCCCAACCACTTGCAATGAGGAATGACGGGGAATGTTTCACTGTACAACATGAACACGGATACCATTGTGATGATGTTGGAAGGACAACTGCTACCACATCCAGCTGTATCATTGGCATCAGTCATCGCTGTGACATATGTTGGCACAAAAAAATTACCAAAAACATGGCTGAAGTCCATGTTCCAAGTTTGACGTCGCATTGTATACAAGGCTCTCATGTGGTTAAAATGCCACAGCGAGATCTACAAGGATATCGCAATTTCAGATGAACATCTTTACGGCCTTCCTGAAGATGATGTTCCAATGGAGATTCTGTCCATCATTCAACACAAAACTGATGTGGGTCTTGTACAGAAGGAAAGTGCAGGTTATGTTCCATGTGATGACTCGGAGATGAATAGTGAGTAGCTCTGAGCTTGCCTGCAATTCAGTTTAATTTATAGCTTAAACTCCAGATGTAGGAAATCACGATCTAGATACAATTGAAGTTGAAAAAGATGAAAATGTGATGGAAGTTGAGCATGGTGAGGGTTTATTCAGCAATAAAAATTTCGAAATTTTTGATGTGATTTTGGAGCAGATGCCAATGTGATTCCATTGCAATTCCTTGGAGTCACAGATACTGAAATGAACTCGTTATCATTGAACGAGCTGATGAAGTATGCACTCACCAACATGGAAGACAAGTCCGAGTTAAAGGAAGGTGGATATGCTGTGCGGCACAGCTTAATGCCAGTCTCCGACTTCAGCTCAGGTCAACATGGTGAATGTAATCCAAACCTAAATCCATTGGCTGCAGCATATCCAGTTCTTTTCCCATATGATATTGGAGGGATAGAAGCAAGCCGAGAGAAGAAGATTGGATTCAATGAACACATACAATGGGCACTGCAATACTATGACCGTTGATTCTGTATCCATCATTCTTTCCCATTTGTTGCCTTTAGCATCGAGCAGAAACGAGAAGCTCTCCAATCAGCTTGTATTCAAATGCAGTGAAAAGACTTCAAACGAGATGCATTTGTAATCAACTCAATAACCATAGCTGATTTGAAACAAGCCGAGAAGGAGGAAGCAGTGCATGTTCCCATATCCAATCCTCGAGTCCGCCTGCTATGTAAACACGTTTTCACAACCAGTGGCCGTGTCAAAGGATCAGACAAGTTACATCCATCTTATCGAGGTCATATTTTGGGGACAACTATGAAGAAGCGAGGGCCATCTCTGTGGATAACCATCAATCCAAGCAACCTTCACGATCCTGTTGTACAGGTACTCGTTGGAGAAGAGATTGACATGGACAAATTTTTTGCAACTGCTGGGGCCAGACAGTGACCACAGGGCACAGAATATTGCAAGTGACCCATACGGAGCAGCAAAGTACTTTTTCTTCATCATCAAAACTGTCCTTCAGACACTTTTTGGCATTGAAGTGACGAAGGATTGTGTTCACACTACAATGGGAATCCTTGGTCGCATCAGCACTTATTTTGGGGTAGTTGAGGCACAAGGACATGGAACTCTGCATGTCCACATGCTGATTTGGCTCGAGGATGCACCTAATTCCAACAAGATGCATGAGTTCTTGAAAACAGAGGAGTTTCAAGATTGTATCAGGGCATACATCAAGCAGAACATCCGAGCTCACGTAGATGGTCTCGATGAAGAAATGATGAAAAGTACCCCACGTGAAACCCAATTGCCATACTCTTGTCCACCTGATCCTGATGCAGAAAATTGGGCAGCCGAGTTTGCTGATAAGGAAAAACGAGTGGTGCGGTCACAACAGGTTCATACATGCACAAAATCAACCTGTCTCTGTTACAACAAGCATGGAAAGCTTGTATGTAAGAGACGTGCACCATGGGAGCTGTCCAGTACCAAATATATTGATGAGAAGGGAAACTGGAAGCCCAAACGAACACATCCTTATGTGAACAACTACTGCCCTGCGATATCAGTAGCATTATGCTGCAATAATGACATCAAGCTGCTTACCAATGGAGTTGACACAAAGCATGCATCGTGGTATTCAACAGACTATCAAACAAAAAAACAAAACAAAAACCACAATGTGTCCGCACTGATAGCGAAGTCCCTCCTGTATCATGAAGAGCACTCCGACCACCTTGAAAGTGTCCTGGAACATAATCAACTTTTGATATTCTGCTGTCAACATTCCATCAATCATGAAATGGAGTTATCCGGTCAACAAGTGGTTGCATATTTGATGGGATGGGGTGATCGAATCTGTTCTCATCATTATGTGCTGCTTTATTGGTCAATAGTGAAGAGATGTCTATTGGTGACTTTTCCAGAACTATGGCCAAAGAATTCGATGTATGTCTTTTAAACATAATGAGTCTGACAAAAGAACTGACAATGGTATCAATAGTGAATGTAATCGTGATGAAGAGGTTGAAGTCAAAGACAATGTGAGTAATGCAGATGTGGAAGACAGACCTCACAATGAAGAAGACTTGGATGATGAACTTGATGTAAGTGTGTTGTTGAAGACTCTGTGCGGTCATCGTCTCATGGTTAATTGAAGGATACTGTGACTCTGGAGGTCTGCACAGGAGGCCAGTTATATGTTCGATCACAGCTAGAGGATTACACCATGCGAGGAAATGAGCTCGAATCATATTCATTTTTTGAATTTATTATCGACACATACAAGGAGGCTATCCCTGCTTCTGAAAAGCAAAACAATGGACAATCAAATGCTACAACATCCTCCCGTGGACGGCCTCGAAATGATCGCAGCCATTATAAGGAGGGACATAGCAAGAACCATACCCATCGCCAGTGTCATTCGCTCCAAGGGTCACAGTACCTTACCCAACATCATTGGCCCATTCTTCCTGCAGCCAAACGACCCAACGTGTAGAAGTCTATATTGTGCCTTGATGCTTGCCCTCCTATTTCCATGGCGTGACCTTCAGGATATCAAGGCAGGATTCGGTAGCTTCAAGGCAGCATTTGTATCATTTTCCGAGGCAGCATCTCAAATGGACAGAGATGTGTTGGCGAGTGTGCAGTATTATTATGACTGCAAGGCTGCCGCATCTATCCATCGTGAAAGCGATGATGAAGCACCACAAGTGGACATGAGCAATAACCTGGATGCGCTTGCTGCAGACTCTGTAGATTCAGACAGTGAAGATGATGAGATGCATATTGAGTTGACGGAAGCAGATCTACTTGCCTATGAGGAATCACAGAAAAATCATCATGAGGAGTTGCATGGATTGATGGCTATCGTAGCTGCACGGACAACAAAGCTCTTTGGTGATGAGCACTGCAACTGGACATGTGGAACGAGTGGAGTTGGAGTCGCACATGGGGCTGATTATATCAGGCTTCAACAGTGGCAAAATCAAATGTCGGAGGCTATTGTCACTCTTAATGGCGACAGTGCACTAGCTCGTTGCAACTCAGACACGGAGAATGCAGGTGACATTGCTGTGATATTAGATGAAGTACTTGGGTCTGATATTGATTGTGACTATGGAGTTGAGCAGATATCAACCCTGCAACACAAAGATGAAGACCATTTATCAGCCATCAATCCATCATACTTGCTCAAAGACCAGAGATGTGCCTATGATATTATTGACTGGCACTTGACAGAAACTCTTGCCGGATGAGCGCCACCACAACTACTCATGGTAATTCTGGGAGAAGGTGGCATAGGAAAATCGAAGGCTATCCAGAAAATCACGGATAACTTTCGCAGCAAAGGAGTTGGTCACATACTTGTCAAGGCTGCGTACACTGGGATAGCAGCATCAATTATTGATGGCAAGACTCTGCACGTCATTGCACAAATTATTATCAATGGTCGCGAACAGTCACAAAAGACGGCAAGGAAGCTCACAGCTTTCTGGAAGGACAAGATGTACTTGATTATTGATGAAAAATCAATGGTGTCACATACATTATTCGCTCGTCTTTCAGCATACATAGCGAAGGGGAAGGTGCTCGCTGGAGAAAGTGACACAAAGAAGCCATTTGGAGGAGTCAATGTCATAGTGTCAGGCGACTTTCATCAGTTTCCTCCTGTTGCTGGCAGCAGAAATGCGCCACTATTCTGGCCATGTGATTCTTCCAAAGACAGTGCAGAGGAGCTTCTTGGTCAAAAACTATACGAGGAGTTTAACATTGTTGTTCGCCTGAAAGAGCAAGTAAGAGTTACCGACCCAGATTGGTTGGACTTGCTGCAACATGTTCATCATGGTAGCTGCCGTGCACACCACGTCAAACTGCTCCGATCGCTCATCATTACCAACACATCATGCCCTCCTACTGATTTTTCAACACCGCCTTGGAATGAATCAGTACTCATAACACCACGCCATGCTGTTCGTAAACACTGGAATGCAATCATGGCACAGACAACGTGTCGAAGAAATGGAACACAACTCTTTATATGCGCAGCATATGATACATTCCAAGGCCGTCCTCTAACACTATCAGAGTGTTTCACAGTGGCGACAAAGAAACAAAGAAAACATCGTGAAAAGCATGATGAGAGGGCTGCACTAGCAAACAAGCTCGACTTAGCAAAGGGAATGAAAGTTATGGTCACATTCAATGTGGAAACAGATCTGGACGTGGCCAATGGAGCTTGCGGAGAAATAGTAGAGATCGTACTTGATGAACGCGAAACAGCATTCTCGCCCACAGCTCCAATCGTTGAACTGACATACCCACTGGCATACATCCTCGTCAAGATGAGTCGCACGAAGGCAGTTCAACTCGAAGGACTGGAGAAAGATGTCTTACCCCTAGTTCCGCTGGAACGCACATTTTCAATCATTCACGGAAAAGGACTGAAAACGATCAGGAGGAGACAGCTGCCTGTCATGCCAGCATATTCATTCACAGACTATAGATCACAAGGTCAGACAATAAGTCACTCCATTATAGATATCGCGACACCTCCTAGTGGTGGACTCACCCCATTCAACGTGTATGTTGCCCTATCACAAGGCCGCAGCCATGACAATATTCAGCTGTTGCGAGATTTTGATGAAAAGTTGCTGATGTCACATCCCTGTGAATACTTGCGAGTTGAAGATGAGAGGTTAATGAAGTTGGACGTGGAGACGGAGAAATGGTGGAATCAAAAGACGCTGAAATCAGGAGAAGAGCTTATGTGAAGATGTATGAATATAACGCAAGCGCATTGACTTTGAGGTCGCGTGCATCTGATGCCATGGCAGGAGTGCAATTGGGAAAGAGAGCGAGGGAGAACTGAGGAATGTGAGTTGTTACAGCCATACTGAGGTTGGATGACGACAGGACAGTTTGGGACTGAAAGCTTGTACGATGTATGTAAGACCAGATGTATTTGTAATCAAATAGTGCTCAATGCTCATGCTGTGGAGAATTAAGCAAAATGTGAATGATGACGAGAATAACTGACTGGTGCTAATCACCTGACTCTATGGCTGCATTTGGAACCCAACCCTAATCTAGGGCTGACCTGGGACGGCTTTCCAAATATGGAATAAACCCTAACCCTGAACAACACCATGAGATCTGGCAGAAATAATTGCAACAGCGTAACCATGCCTTGTATTTTTTGAGCGATGGAAGGGCACCAGAGCAAACTGTACAGGAAGCAATAGAAGAGGTTTGAAAATGCTGTTATTCCTTGTGGGTGTATCAAGTGAAGCATCGGTGAATGAAAAATGTTATGGGAGAGTGAAGAAAAACAGCGAACAAGTAATTTGGTAAAAGTCGAACCATGTGTCATGTCATGTGAGATTGAGAGTTAGCTAATCAAAAATTTGTCCAGGTAATGCGCCAACAAAAAGGGAACATGAAGGAAAAAGACAGGTCCTGGGGTACCCAGAGAACCATGGTATTTTAACATCTCAACCTTTTTGAGAGAAATAAAACCAAAGATGAATTATTTGAGCAAAATGGCGATGCCGAACCTGACGATCACGGAAAAGCCGGGTCAGGTAGCGGGCTTTGCCACTTTAGATGGCGCTACTGGCTTATGTAGTAGTATCGGTGAATCGTGATTGTGCTGTGATGTCTATTGGATTGCAAGCATCGTACATACAATGTAAATTTGTCTATTACTTCCCACGGATGCATAACTTTATCCTTCAGCCACAATTACAAGATGTGAGTGACCTTGTAAACAAGGTAACCTTGTTTATCACTACGTTTCCCGCCCTTAGATGCCACTCATATTCATATATATAGCCATGTACTTTTCATATTAAAGCATCAAATTATTGTCCGTCTTCCGTCCATTCTACAGTATCACTAAGCCTCAAACTTGCATTCCCAGAACTCAGCACACCTTACATATTGGAGCCCACCATGAGGGGAAGCAAATCAATCAAAACTCTATGCAACCATCAGACCTCACTACTCCAACAATTTCAAAGTATATTCATCCCAACGCTCAGCTTGCCACCGAAAATGCTGCTCGAGCATCTAATCTGGCACCAAGACGCTCTCGCATTCCCGTTACAGCTAAGAAACATGCCACCTGTTCTGTAACTAAAGACAAAGACCCTGTAGAATCTCCAGAACTCGTGTTTCGTTTGCCTATCCATCACCGCATCAGCATCAAAGGAACAGAATCTACTTTGCATCTCCTATTTCCCCTAATGCCTACCAGTATTGTGTCGAGCCTTGCTCCACAAACCAAGCCCATCACCGTCACCCCTAGCCTCAAATTCTTCTCATCTACAGCTCTACCGCCACCAAGTACTACCCTACAACCACCACCCACATCACCATCAGTTACAGCTCCCACCATGTCTTTAACTTCGAAGGGAATCAACGCCATGCTGGCCCTGATGTCTAACAAAGCTCCATCCTTCACTGGAGAAACATCTGACCTTTTAGACTTCTTTGAGCTTTTTGAGGATCTGGCTCAAGCCTGTGGTCTTACTGATGCTGAGCAATGTAAACTACTTGTCAGATACGTGTATCAACCTATGAAATGCTTCTGGGTCACTCTCACCGGGTATGAGAGCAAAGAGCAAAGACTTCGCCATTCTCAAGGCTAGCATCCTTGAGCAATACCCTGGTGCAGAAAAAGGACTATGCTACACCATCCAAGACCTAGAATGAGCCATTCTTAACAGCACTGACAGCGACATTTCCACAGAAACTGAGCTACTTCAGTACTATAGACAGTTCTGCCTGATCGCACACTGGCTCATGACAAACGGTAAAATCACCTCCCGGGAACGCGACAGATACTTCTGGCAAGGACTACCTGCCTCCACCTGATGAGCCATAGATCAAAGACTCAAAGTCCAGGACTCAGCATACTCCTGCGCTGAAGCCACCAACTTCGAAAAAGTACTCAAAGCTGGCCACTTTGTGTTCTCAGACGACGCATTTGATGCAGACTTCAACGATCCTATCACTACTTGACTACACTCAATACGGGACTCTTGCTCAACCTCCACCCCAAGCAAACCCAAGCCCACCGTACCACAGCCATGGGACTCAGATGATGAGGATGACAAGAAGGATGCCAAGCGAGAGGTTCAAACCAGGTGTGTAACATTCACACCTGAACAGCCTGTCAGATCCACCATAGACGAAGTCAAGGAACTCAGGAGAAAGATGCACTCACTCGACATCACCGATGTTGCCTATTCAGGATGTTACACCCATTTAGTTTGCCTCGCACCAGCAGCAGCTCAAGCCTGGGCCCCTCCATGTACCCGTCAATTTGGACAAGGACCTTCTCAAAGTCCCTCGACTGCCAATCCCCCATACATTCTTCAAGGGGATATGTCTAGTTACTTCTGTGGGTCACCACATCTCATCCGCAACTGTCCTACTGCTACTGAATACCTTTGTACTGGTCGTATAATTTGGGAGAATAACCACTTCTCATACCCCGACCGTTCTCACATCCAACGTAATGGTAATAGGACCATTCAGCAAGCTATCGACAACACTATTCTACAGCTCCGGTGGCTACTTCTACTCCAGCAACAGGCTCCAACCTCGTAGCAATGGACAAACCCCGATACGACACTTCAGCTTCTGCCTCCTCTAACACATTTATCACAGAAACATACTTTCTTCAGTGTGAACATGTTGTCGAGAACCATGCAGTAGTTGTCACAGTCGAGGATGCTGAAGACAAAGAATCTGCTGATGTTCTAGCCATCACCTGATCCAAGGCAAAAACTACCCCCCCTAGCTCATCTGATGAAAGCAAAAAGACAGTAGCCCCATCATGCACCAGTAGTACCTCACCCGCAAACTCAACAACATGCACCCCAGAACCTTCCAAACCATTAGACACCCAGCTGGCCCACTCCAAAACTCCAGCATTCACATACGAATCCAAAGCAGCATCTCCTGAGGCCACCCATCGTGTATACCAGAACATGCTCAACATGGTGGTTCCAAATCTCACCATCTCGGATCTCCTTGCCATTAGTCCAGATCTACGACGAGAAGCTGTTGATCATTGTCCCACACAACAGGTACCAGCCCCATTATCAGCTATGTCAGCAAATGCCTTAGCAAGTGCAGCAATTGACGGACCTCTTCAAATTGAACATGCTACCCCCTTATGAGAGCTCCATGTTACGATTAATGGAGTCCATTTCGATGTAGAGCCTCACATCTTCACAGATACTTCCTTCCGAATTCTCCCACTTTCCCTACAAACTCCAGCTCTAATCCACAGGATTCGTCTAGCGCATCAGTGCACTTATATTTTATTTTGCAGGTTTCGCGTGCAACCTCGCGGGTTCGTGCACTTCGCACATCTGCACTCGCATTGTCTGTGCATTTGTCTGTCTGTCCATCCCATGTCCTTAGATGTTCATTGGTGTGTTTTCCCATCATATTCCCTTTTCAATTAATTGGTTTCTATCGCTAATTCTCAGCTCTGTGCTTCGCGCATAACTGAGACCCTGTTACACACATCGTGTACTATTTTTAGTTTGTTCGGCTCATTACATCGGACCTGTGCGCCTAGCACCGCTTAGCTACTTTACTTATACTATCTCTTTACTCTATTTTTGGGGTTGATTTTGTGGCCACTTTCTGTGTGTCTCTAGATACTGAGAATTTTACTCGTTGTTTGCAAGTGACTATTTAAAGTCGCGCGCTTCGGTTCACAGTCTCCGTCTTAGCATCAGCCAACCTTAGTTGGGGTGTTAACACTTGTCTTGTCTTGTCTTTCTCTTGCTTCTCTTGCTCGCTTGTCTCTTGCCTTCCCTCGCACGTGCTACCTTCGCATTGTGCACCTTGACCTTCACCTTTCACACTCGCGCATTCGCCTTCCGTACATTGCATTGTTTCTGCTTTGTGCATTACTTAGCCCTAGTACTTCATTAGTTGTTTGGTGTCCCTCTTTTTTTACAAAGAGAAGCCCATACTGTTATAAAGATGTATCTATTCTGTACTATTAGCCAGAAACCCTGATACATCATCCAGTTTCATTGTCTACTATCCAAACTCCGAACCTCCAATGGAGGAGGAGCTATCATACAACCAACGTAGAGCAGTCCGTGATGCACATAGGTTCGTGCGCATGTACAACATTGGGTGGCGGAGAAACTGGGTGCCATTGAGGTAGATTCCACAGGGAACCACTACCAGGAATCTCATCAGAACATGCCCAAAGAAGATGACCTTGAGCACTCACCCATCCAGGCATTAACCCAAGACCACCGAGTCGACTACCAACACCAAGGGCACCTTTCCTCCCAAATTCAACATAGTGCTGGGGAGCCCTGAACCTGAGACTAATTAGATTTGACATGCCATTGATGTGCCACATGGTGACTTTGTCTTCCAATACGCACCAGTGGCACAGAGCCCGGGGAGGTTTCCTTTACTCAGTTAGCTGCCCTTGGGATGACAATTTCACTCGCACCCGGGTCTATCTGTGTTTGCTTAGCTTAGCACTAACTTTCCCCACAGTCTAGATTCCTCATCTTTACCGAGATGGGCCTTCTTGATGAAGGATCAGGGATTGTTGTTATCCGTGAGGATGTCTGGAAAAAGACAAACACACCTCTAAATGAGAGTATTTATATGCATATGCAAACAGCTAACAGAGGATTACAGGATATGAAGGGATGTTTAGAGATGCTGGAGATTGACGTAGCAGGAATCAAGACATGGGCCCATGCATATGTTGTACCTG